ATAGGGAGGGGTGTGGGGCTGGAGGAGGTGATGGAGATAGGGAGGGTTGTAGGGGCTGGAGTAGGTGACAGAGATAGGGAGGGATGTAGGGGCTGGAGGAGGTGACGGAGATAGGGAAGGGTATAGAGGCTGGAGGAGGTAATGGAGATAGGGAGGGGTGTAGAGGCTGTAGGAGGTGATGGAGATAGGGAGGGGGTGCAGGGGCTCGAGGAGGTAACAGAGATAGGGAGGGTGTGTAGGGGCTGGAGGAGGTGACAGAGATAGGGAGGGGGTGTAGGGGCTGGAGGCGGTGACAGAGATAGGGAGGGGGTGTAGGGGCTGGAGGAGGTGACAGAGATAGGAAGGAGGTGTAGGAGCTGGAGGAGGTTACAGAGATAGGAAGGGGGTGTAGGGGCTGGAGGAGGTGACAGAGATAGGGAGGGGTGGCCACTGTGGCATTAGTAGAGATGGATTGTAAGTTTCGAATGGGGACATGTTGTGAGAGGGAACCAGTGTCAGTGAGCGAGCACAGGGCTTTAGGGTTGGGGACTTGCTGAGATTTCTGTGATACAGAAATAGAGAAGGTGAGAGGAACAGGCCCAGGTTGTCAGTTGTCATCTAAAAGAATAATTTTCGACAAAATGCTCTGAGTCACAGTGAGCTGTCTGTGAATGAGATCGATTGTCCAACAATGAGCTGCTATCTATTAGCTGAAAGGGATGAAGGGTTTATGAAAGTTTCTACCTTTTCAATCAGATCGATACAAGCTTGAAGATCAAGGCCAAAATCAATGAAGACCCAGTCGATCCCCTCTCTCTTGTACTCCTCCTGCTCCAACACAAACATGTGGTGGTTGAAAAACTGTTGCAGTTTCTCATTCGTAAAATTGATGCAGAGCTGCTCAAAACTGTTGTACTGTAGGACCAAAGAGAGAGAGAGGGAGAGAGAGGGAGATAGAAGGAGAGAGAGAGAGGGGATAAATGTGAGGCAGATAGAGAGAAATAGAGGGGAGAGGAGGAGTAGTGGGGGAGAGAAAGGGATAGAGGGAGGGAGAGAGAAGGTGGAGAGAAGGAGGGGGCAGGAAGGGGAGAGAAAGGTAAAAAGAGAGGAAGGAGCAGGGATAGAGAGGGGACAGAGGGAGAGAAAGAGAGGGGGAAGAGAGAGAGAGGGAGAGAGAAAAAAGGAGGATGAGACAGAGGGAGAGAGAGAATTGAAGGAGGGAAAGAGGGAGACGGAGAATGAGAGTGAAAGAATAAGGGATGGAGAGAAAGGATTAGGCAAAGAAAAAAGGGACAGAAAGAGATGAACAGGGAGAGGGAATGGATGAATGGGGGGAGAGAGAGAGAGAGAGAGAGAAATTTAATAATTGTACATCATGTAATCTCTGTACCTGGGTATTTTGTGACAAAGGGAGATAACTTAATTTATTTTCTGCAGCTTCTGACATGGTGAGGCTTACAGTGTGACAGTTGTTTCATCGAGAGAGACAGAGAGAGAGAGAATGACCAGAGAGAGAAAGAGAGAGAGAGTGAGACAGTGCGTGAGAGAGAGAGAGTGAGAGAGAGAGTGTGAGTGAGAGAGTGTGAGAGTGAGTGAGAGAGTGAGTGAGTGAGAGAGAGAGAGTGAAGGAGAGAGAGAGTGAGGGAGAGAGAGAGTGAGTGAGAGAGAGAGAGTGAGAGAGAGAATGTGAGTGAGAGAGTGTGAGAGAGTGAGTGAGTGAGTGAGAGAGAGACAGAGTGAGTGAGTGAGTGAGAGAGAGAGTGAGTGAGAGTGAGGGAGAGAGAGTGAGGGAGAGTGAGAGTGAGGGAGAGTGAGGGAGAGTGAGAGTGAGGGAGAGAGAGTGAGTGAGAGAGAGAGTGAGTGAGAGAGAGAGTGAGAGAGAGTGAGAGAGAGGGAGTGAGAGTGCAGAAGTACTGCTGATGGTAGAAGCACCTTTAAGACTCCCATCACCCAAAATGAAGCAGCTTTTCCCTGAAGCTAACAGCAACAGTACTCCCTCAGCTGGACCATCCCGAATTCAGACTGTGTACCCTCTGATAGACCAGAATACAGATCCAGTGAAGTGTACAGCATGAGGTCATTTAGGCCACTTTGTCTATTCCTGGCTCTTTGCCAGCATTTGAAAACTCAGTTGAGGTCATTTCAAATTCTCTTTTTAATCAGGATGTTGAGTTTTCAGAAACAGTATTTGTTGAAGCATTGAACAGTTTGTTGCATTTTCTAAACCATAGATACTCTGTTTGTTGCTTCTGGGATTTCTATTTTACCAGAGAGCACAGAAATGAATTGTTCATGTAGCTAGAGACTCACTTCAAATATTTCGAAGCCTGCAATGTCCAACACTCCGATGAAGTACTGCCTGGCAAACTTAGTGTCCAAGGTCTTGTTAATACGGAAAACCAGCCACTTAAACATTCGATCATAAGTAGCCTTTGCAAGGGCACCCACAGCATAGAGTACCTGGAGGGAAAAAGTGAAAAGTGAGGAGTAGCAATCCTTCCCTACATTGATACATCACTCAAATCAGGTCAGACACAAAGATACTGAGGCTGTTCAGGAACTTGTGATTCCCTGCTAATAATCATCCAATCCTCAACAAAAGCAAAACACTGCTGATTCTGGAGAATGGAAACAAAAACAGAAAGTGCTGGAGAAACAGTATATATATTTCGAGCATTGGCCTCAAAACATTAACCTCTCTCCACGGATGCTGCCGGACCTACTGAGTTTCTCCTGCACTTTCTACCTTCCAACCCCACGTAGGAACAGGGCTGTTGCTCGAGGACTGGAGAATTGCAAATATTCCATCCTTGATTAAAAGTGTGTTGGAGTATAAGGTAAAACTCAGCAACTGCGGCAGGAAAGGCTTAAGATCAAAATGATCATTCCCAGTGAAATTATCAGGCTGTTGGACCAATGTTGATTAATTAAGGAAAACTAACATGGATTTAGGGAAAAACAATATTTAATTCATTTGCTGAAGTTTTTTGACGAGGTAACAGAGATTGTTAATGAGGGGAATGCTGTTGATGTGGTGTACATGGATTTCCAGAAGGTGTTGAATAAAGTGCCACATGACAGGCTGATGAGTAAGGTCAGAGTTCATGGTTATGGCAGACTCAATCAAGGCTTCCAAAAGACACTTGGAGAGATAAAGTTTTGCAAGGCAGCAGAGAAGCAGAGAGAGTTTGGGACTCGGTACATTTATCTTGCAGAGAGCTAGCAGGAGATACGATGGACCACATGGCCTCCTTTTGTTCTGCAATCATACAGAATGGAAACAGACCCTTCAGTCCAACCAGGCCATGCTGACCATAATCACAAACTAAACTAGTCCCACCCGCCTGCATTTCGCCCATACCCCTCCAAACCTTTCCTATTCATGAACTTATCCAAATGTCTTTTAAACATTGTAACTGTATCCACATCCACCACTTTCTCTGGCAGTTCATTCCACACACGAACCACTCTCTGTGTAAAATGTTGCCCCTCATGTCTTTTTTTAAATCTTCCTCCTCTCACCTTAAAAATATGCCCCCAGTCTTGAAATCCCCCATCCTAGGGAAAAGACACCAGTTATTCACCTTATCGATACCCCTCATCATTTTGTAAACTTCTATAAGGTCACCACTCAACACCCTATGCTCCAGTGGAAAAAGTCCCAGCCTATTCAACCTCTCCCTATAACTCAAATGCTCATTCCCAGCAACATCCTGGTAAACCCTTCTGAGCCCTCTCCAATTTAATAATATCCTCCCTATAACAGGGCGACCAGAACTGGATACATTACTCCAGAACAGGCCTCACCAACATCCTATACAACCTCAATATAACATCCCAACTCTTGTATTCAAAGATCTTAGCAATAAAAGCAAGTGTGTTAAATGTCTTCTCAACCACCCTGTCTACAAACTTTAAAGAACTATGTACATGAACCCATTGGTTTCTCTGTTCTAGGACACCACCCATGGCCCTACCATTAATTTTGTAAGTCATAAGAACATAAGAACTAGGAGCAGGAGTAGTCCATCTGGCCCCTGAAGCCTGCCCCGCCATTTAATAAGATCATGGCTGATCTTTTTGAGACTCAGCTCCACTTACCCGCCCACTCACCATAACCTTAATTCCTTTACTGTTCAAAAATTTATCTAGCCTTGCCTTAAAAACATTCAGCGAGGTAGCTTCAACCGCTTCACTGGGCAGGGAATTCCACAGATTCACAACCCTTTGGGTGAAGAAGTTCCTCCTGACCTCAGTCCTACATCTGCTTCCCTTCATTTTGAGGTGATGCCCTCTAGTCCTAGTTTCACCTGCGAGCGGAAACAACCTCCCTGCCTCCACCTTATCTATTCCCTTCATAATCTTATATGTTTCTATAAGATCTCCCCTCATTCTTCTGAATTCCAATGAGTATAATCCCAGTCTACTCAGTCTCTCCTCATAATCCAACCCTCTCAACTCTGGAATCAACCGAGTGAATCTCCTCTGCACCCCCTCCAGTGCTAGTATATCTCTTCTCAAGTAAGGAGACCAAAACTGCACACAGTACTCCAGGTGTGGCCTCACCAGGACCCTATACAGCTGCAGCATAGCCTCCCTGTTTTTAAACTCCATCCCTCGAGCAATGGCAGACAAAATTAAATTTGCCTTTTTAATTACCTGCTGCACCTGCAATCCCACCTCCAGCGATTCATGCACAAGGACACCCAAGTCCCTCTGCACAGCAGCGTGCTGCAATTTTTTTTACCATTTAAGACATAGTCCATTTTGCTGTTATTCCTATCAAAATGGATGACCTCACACTTATCAACATTGTACTCCATCTGCCAGACCGTTGCCCACTCACTTAGACTATCTATATCCCTCTCCAGACTTTCAGTGTCTTCTGCACACTTTGCTCTCCCACTCACCTTAGTGTCATCTGCAAATCTTGACACACCACGCTTAGTTCCCAACTCCAAATCGTCTATGTAAATTGTAAACAATTGAGGTCCCAACACTGATCCCTGAGGCACACCACTCGCCACTGACCACCAACCAGAAAAACACCCGTTTACCCCTACTCTTTGCTTTCTACTGGTCAACTAATCCTCTATCCATGCCAATACATTACCTGTAATACC